GAGTTTGTGACAAAGACTCAAATCCTTTGAAGTTTTTTTCGAGATGATGCAATTGCTAAACACCCTAAAGTTTTAAAGCTCAATAACGATATTTTCATCAAAATTGATAAATATACGCAGAAAAAAATTATGTCAATAATTTGCAGACTTTTTGCTGGGCGCGCTAAATTATGCGCGCTAGAGCCAAATGAATTCATCATAGACGCGCAGAGAAATCAATGGATATATTCTTTCATATTTGATATTCGGAGATATTGCTTACAGTAGACTGATCTCATTGTGTTGGGTGATACAGATGGGGGGAGGGGGGGATACGGGTGTACAAAAATACTTATTAGGGAATACTGGTAAAAGCTATAGTTTTGAATGCTTGTTAATTAACTTTTTGCAACTTATTTTTAAAAGGTTTCTTTTGCGAGAAATCTGATATTAAATAGATTATTTAAACCCTATATACTGCTTCTTTATCTATAAAACTCTTTCTATAATCCTAAAACTGATATATGGTATGTTAGTGACCGTAGATAGATGGGTGTGTGTGTGTGTGTAGGATATCTATATGGTGTGTTGAGTACCCTCTTACTAAATACAAAACCATATTGTAAGGGACCATTTGAAGATTAGGCCAAAGAACAGAGATTAGAACAGAAGGGAAATAAAACAATCTCTCGGTATGTTCAGTCCCTTTGAGTCTGAAAAGAAGTTTAAAGATCAAGATGATTTTGAGAAAATTAAATAATTTTCATGAACAATTTTTTCTATAAAAATATGTTCCATGGCCTGGAAGGTTATATTGCATAAATCTGTGAAGTATACTTGCAGTATGGTAACCGTACAACAAAATGGCGGTTTACACTTTTTTTTGACTAAATTCCACTCTATACTAAACTATTCTCTTTGGATTTGAAAGAGTAAAAGATTATACCCTTCAAAACTGTCAAACCTTGAGATAAATGAAGTTGGGCCTTATAAATGCATTGATTTGATTTAAATCGATCATTAATGGTTATTTCAATGTTTCAGGCAATTAGTTTATATAAGTAATAAGCTATAATTGTACATGTTAGGTTATGCTTAATTGATTTAAATGACACATTATATCCCAATGAATACTAAGCCCTGGTTAGTTTCAAGTGAGTTAAATGGACTGGAAGCGTAATTTGAATTGACGCTTTATTCAAAAATAGCGTTACTCGATTCACAATGGTACCCTTGAACCCTTTATCTGATTAATAATGTGGAAGGTTTAACTCTGATAATTCCTGTTTTCCTCGGGTGAATCGGACAGTGCCATCTTTGCATTGAGGGTCACTTGAAATTACGCTTATAGTCCCTATAAGAGGCTTGAATCTGCTGAAATGAACAAACTTAAATATTCTATCCAATACGTTTTTACAGCATGATGGTGTAAACCTTAGATTTTTAACAATTGTATCTAATAGAATTCATAGTTTAATATTTCAAAAATGTATGACATCCTCGGGGGGAAAAACAGTAGAATTTATGAAAATATATCATTCATGCACATTTCGATATTTTAACCTTTTCTAAAAAATTAGAGGTTAGGTTTACAAAACACTTGAATTGTATAGATTTAATTGAATCCTGGATAATTACAGAAAGACCTGAACAACTGGAAGACTATGATACGATCAAATAATCACTGTAAATTTCTACAAAAAATTATTATCGCAAATATCTAAAAATATCAATATATCCGCACTTGTATATTTTATAAACTAATATTGTTTTCAAAGTTAGTTCTTCATTGGTTTCCAGACGGGTATACACGGTACAGTGAATCTTATTCTGTCCGTTCATGTTAAAGGTTATCCATCTTCATTTCTAAGTGTCAAACTAATTATTTTTTAAATTTAATTATTAATTTGTATAGCTTTATACCTCCAGATTGTCTTTAATAATTTCTTTTGGTCCATTTTTTGCAAGGAAAGTTAATTGAAGTTGCATATACTTTGCGTACATATTGAAACCAGTTCTCTCTGGGCGGAATTTGTAAACAAGAATAGATGCATTCAGTGTTCGTTTAGAATCTTAGGAGGATAAAAGCATTTAATTTTGATAATTTTGATAATTGACATAATAGTTTCCTATGACCAGAATATTTCATTGATTTTTTATGTAAATGATGGATCCCATGTCAGGCTGTGCCATCCGTCTTGTGTTTACATTACCGCTCAGAGACAGCACACTGCAGTACAAAAGATGCGTACACTTCTGAAATAACTTTCCTTGCATTATAACCTCGGTCGATTTCATTTTGTGGTCAACTTGTCTTATGTGCTCTGCGCTAAACAGGTTTCTCTAAATATTTATGTGCTCTTTGTTTTCTATGGTCTAAATTATTTCTATGTTTAATATTATTATCTTTAATATCTATTTTCTGAACCAAATCTATTTTCTATTTTCTATTTTCTGTTCTATGTTCTCTATATTCAAAATATGCTCTATGATCTCTATGTTCTGAATATGCTCTATGTTCTCTATGTTCTGACCATTGTCTATGTTCTCTATGTTCTGACTATGCTCTATGTTCTCTATGTTCTGACTATGCTCTATGTTCTCTATGTTCTGATTATGCTCTATGTTCTCTATGTCTACTGGATATTGGAAGAATTTTAATGTATTTCACACTTCCAAACCTTTGATTAGCGGACAATAGCTTTTAGTAAGACCAACAAACTTCAAACAAACAACCCGACAAACTATATAGTCCAACAAACAAGCAGAGAAGCAGCATGGACCAACAAACTTCAAACAAACACCCCGACAAACTATGATATAGTTCAACAAACTAGCAGAGAAACAGCGTTGACCAACAAACCTTCAAACTAAAATAAATAAAACTATAAATTACAAACAACTCTTTAAACACTGTTTATACTTAAGGCTGTCTCAAATTACAAATAAGTATTACTTGTAGGCTTTGTGTCCTTGATAATCCTTTATCAGACTTAAACCTACAGATAAACTAAGACAGATAGATAGATAGATAGATAGATAGATAGATAGATAGATAGATAGATAGATATATAGATAGATAGATAGATAGATAGATAGATAGAAAGTGAATCAATTGTTTGGTTGTTGTTCAGAATAATTGACAAGGTGCAAAGACGCTGATATAACTCCTTTAATTCATTGCTATTCATTCATCCTTCAATTTTCTCCTTTAATTCATTGCTATTCATTCATCCTTCCATTTTCTCCTGTATCCTTCCTTCCTATGTTTATTCCCCTTTTAACTACTGTTTTCATTTACAAACTTTTCGGCTTTCAAAAATTACTGTTAATGCAAAACCATTAAAGTAGATGGTAGCTGTTAACACTTTTTGTACTTGTTATTTTCCTTAACTGTAGTTTTACTTTAAATAACACTTTTTATTTAGAGTAAGCTACAAATAATAGGCCAGGGGTCTCAAATAAGTATTTATAGTTTTTGATTGTGGGCCAAAATATCAATTTTAGAGTTTTTAAAATTAAAAAATGCTTGAATTTACAATTAAGATGAAATTATTTAATATATTTTCAAAAAACAAGAATTTGTGCGAATGGATAAAGAACTAACCGACCTTCTTCATTCCAAAAACACTTTGTCTGCTAGAGTTGCGCAGACATCGCTTTATTATCTCATTTTTGATTTTACATTTGTACTCTTTTTGTACTTCACAGCTAGTATAACTCGGCCAAAAAAAAGATACACCCTGTATCTACTAGGAACGTATTGTATATACACCCTGTATCTACTGGGAACGTATTGTCTATACACCCTGTATCTACTAGAAACGTATTGTATATACACCCTGTATATACTAAGAACGTATTGTCTATACACCCTGTATCTACTGGGAACGTATTGTATATACACCCTGTATCTACTAGGAACGTATTGTCTATACACCCTGTATCTACTGGGAACGTATTGTATATACACCCTGTATCTACTAGGAACGTATTGTCTNGCTGTTACTTTTCCTGTACAAAACCAAAGTATAGTGAAAATTAGCCAAATTTGAACGAAAAACTTAAAAAAGAATTTAAAATTGCCAATGTCGTTATGTTAAAAAAATGGAGATTGTTAATAAAGAAAAGAAGAATGTAACCAATAGCTGTTGAAAGCGTGAGACTGAGTATTCCCTTGAGAGGGGGCGTTACCTCCCCTCCCCTCCCCTCCCTGGGACACGCCCACCAGTCACTATTGTGGGTTCTCCAATAACCTGGTAATACGATCAGTTCCGTTCTTGTCACATCTCATTACTTTATTTTCTCAACTCGTTTTTCTCAGACCCTTGATCAGAAAATGGTTTTTAGGGTACTGGATTGTGAATCAGACACGACACTTTTTTTATTTTTTTATTAGAGAACCACTTGAAATTACGTCTATAGTCCATTTAAGCAGCTTGATTGATTAGTCGAAATTTGAAATATACAAGGTTTTGACCATCAGGTTGCTAAGATATAGGGATGAGAAAATAGAATTTTTTGCGAGTTCAATGAAATGTAGGGGGGCACAAAGCGCCAAGAATGTCTATTTTGATACAAAAATTTTGTCAGCAAGTCGTTAAATTGTATGCTGTAGGTAGATGTAATGTATTTAATGTACTCGTAAATACATTTATATTTATAAAAGCTCCATTTGTTTTACAACAGAAGATGAGATTTTAGAGAATATAGTTTACATTTTTCCAGATAAAATAAACAAAATTTCCAAGATCATTTCCATTTTACGCTTGACTTACCTTTATTAAAATGTCAGGAAAATTTTGTGGAGGGGGACGTTAGAAGGTTTATTGGGGGGGATATTTGTAAAAATTTACAAAAGAGCACCGTTGCAAACCAGAATCTATTATAAAAAGGTTGAGATTGGTCGGATATATTTTAAATAATTTGGTATTCAATGTTGAAAGTTGGCGCTGAAAAGTAGAACGCAAACGAAAAGTTTAAAAAGGACCATTACACATTATAAATATGTTTAATTTCAGATCTGTAAACGTGATTGGATGGAATAGAATCCGGCTTCAAAATGACACTTTCATTTCAAGGTTTGATTTCCGAAAATGGTCCTTTTTAAGAAAAAATCGAAATCACTGAATAAGGAAAATTTTTATTTTTTTTCAGAAAGTACGATCGCTGATTTTACCCCATACAGAACCTCAGATTCAGGTAACAAAAATTACACTCATATGCATAAACATTTTGAAACGTTGACAGATTTTTGTTACAATTTTCGCGGATTTCAAAAATTTATTACTATTGTACTTTTTTCACAATATAGATATAAATAAAAATCTAATTCTCATGAAGTTGATGGGAATATTAGAGATTAAAATATTTAATGAATAGGAAGATTTTAAAAGATTTATTTTTTTATTAAACCCCGGTTAATCCTCTTTTTATTAAATTCCATCTTTTCAAAGTTAAAACTATTCAGCTCTTTTTAAATAAAAAGTTATCTTTTTAAAAAGACCTTTCATGGATTTAAAATAAGATTATTAAAAAAAATGACTAAGATAAATTCGACTTTTTACAGTGGTATCCAAAAACTGTGAAAGAGGATGACGACTCAAGAAACGTTAGAAACATTAAACGTCGTCATGGATCCCACTGTAAAACAATACGGCTCCTGTTGTAAATCGTTAATGGCACCTTTTAACTAAAACTTCCTTTTGTCAGGGCACAGTGGAGTAAACCAGCTAGGAGGGGTTTATGTAAACGGTCGTCCTCTACCTGACTCCACCAGACAGAAAATAGTTGAATTAGCGCATAGTGGAGCCAGACCTTGTGATATCTCTAGAATACTTCAAGTTTCTAACGGATGCGTTTCAAAAATACTTGGAAGGTAAAAAGAACAATACAAAAAACTAAACTAATATTAATGATGATAATAATAATAATAATAATAATAATAATAATAATAATAATAATAATAATAGGTATTATGAGACAGGATCTATTAAACCTCGAGCTATCGGAGGCTCTAAACCTCGAGTAGCTACCCCTGGCGTTGTCAACAAAATATCTGATTATAAGAGAGAGTGCCCCTCAATATTTGCCTGGGAAATTAGGTGAATAAAGGGACTGTTCTTAAACATAAAAACATGTTAAACATAATTGAAAATTTAATTGATTGCAATGTGCATTTTCCCATGAAAATGTATTCGCTTACTTACCCTTTACGACGGGCTCTGATGGAACATGAAATATTTCATTCCGCTGATTAATTTTAACAATTATTTTTACCTTGAAAAACAAAACTAAAAGAAGATTTAATTTTTTATTTCTATTTTTAGAGACAGACTTCTAGCAGAGGGTATCTGCAATAGTGACAATGTTCCAAGTGTAAGTAAATTAGCACTTTTATTCCATAATTTAAAACAAAAAGTTTATTATCTGACCTTTATAATTTAGAGAAAGAACCGATACTTTTTTCATTTTGGAAAAAAAACTTTCCTTTTTATTTTTCTTGGATAATATGATCGTTAGGTCTTGTCCAAGGATTGTTAAAGGATAATATGATCGTTAGGTCTTGTCCCGGGATTGTTGAAGGATAATATGATCGTTAGGTCTTGTCCCGGGATTGTTGAAGAATAATATGATCGTTAGGTCTTTCTCTGGGATTGTTAAAGAATAGTATGATCGTTTTGTCTTGTTCCGGGATTGTTAAAGGATAATATGATCGTTAGGTCTTATTCCGAAATTGTTAAAGGACGTGATTACAAAAAACATCGTTTTCGTTTGTTGTGGAAGGAATTTTAATTTTTGTCTGGTTTTTAATGAATAAGGAAATCATTACAATTGTTTGTTAACAGTGTTACTGTGCAGACTTGGGAGAATGTCTTTTTTTGTTGCAAATAATGTTTAGTTATGTAGCCAACAATCTGAAACGTAAAAATTGAAAATCTTTTTAAATGATATCGAACCTTGTAGCAAATTAAGAGTCATTCGAACGATCCAGGGTGTCTTAGAAAACATGAAACGCAACAATTAAAATATTAGTATGCTTCTGCAAATGAGAAAATAAACACTAATAGTTAATGGTTTATGACAAGACATTATGCTAAAAATTCGTCAAGACATGTTTATGGAGACACCCTGTAGACTTTTAGTCCTATCTTTCAAATTTAAATTGAACTTGGTGAATATAATCCAAGGAGATTGGGAAAGAATGGGAAATCCAACAGATTGAGAATTGCCTTGGAAATCCAGCGGCTTGGAAACAGAAATTTATTTTTAAATTAAAGAATATTTGTCAGGAAACTTTTTGACATTTCTAAGATTTTAAGAAATGAAAAAAAAATCTTGAAAACAGTATTTTCCAAATCATTTTTTTCTTGTAAACAATTTTTTCTTTTATTGCATTCTTATATACTCATCATAGCTTTATTTGAGTTACTAGGCTTCGAACTTCTTTTAATTCTGACCATCCCCTTCCCTGGGATCATGTCAGGTCCCACAACAAAATTGGACCCTATTGGTTCATTCCTTTTGACGTTTATTGGTCACAAACAAAGATACAAGCAAAGTATATAGATGGATAAGAATGTCTATTTATCTGTTTATCTATAAATAGAAATATGTATTGTTAAATTTCATATTTGTTCAAAGGATTTTCTTTGTAAATTCTAGACTAGAGAATAAGTATAAGTGTACTATAAGTGGGGTTGTTGATCAATGTACTACAAACACTGTATATTGCCCTCTTGAAACATATATTAAACATTTATGTTGATATTTCAAGAAATGGTTTTATACTGGAAACTTTTTAAGGCATAAATATCTTTTTGAAGTTATAACACATCGGTTAAAAGTGAAAATTTGCAAAAAAAACTAATAAAATTCTTTAAATAATTAATGTGCAGCACAATTTCTAGATAAACAAAGCTTTCAGGGAATCTATTTCAAAAGTTTTTTGGTTCAGGGTAGGGAACTTTTAAATGTACGGATCAGCTCAACTCTCTCCTCTGTCTTAAGCGGTTTATATCGACATCAATATTTGCAAATTTGCATGAAAAAAAAAATATAAAAAAGGGACAGATTCTGTTTTTAAAATAAGTAATATTAAATTTTTACAGTTTTATAATTTATTTCTGTAATGTAGTGACAAACAAAAACGCTTTGGATATTTTGATCGTTTAGTTCGCTTATACAAGGGAAGCAGGGAGGATGGAGAGGGGAGGGAGAAAGGGAGCACCCAAATGATCTTTACTTCCGGAATACGGAAACTAAACTTAGGGGGATTTCTCCGGCAAGAAACCAAGGACAGGGGAATTTTTCCCCATCATCAACAAGAATTCTAATACTTACTTTAGATCCCATTGCAAATTGTTCGTAATTACTTTTTTAAGATGAAAACATATAAATAGTTTTTCTGGACTTATATCCCCCTTTTTTCTGGAAATAGCAACCTCCCGTAACGTGATTATACTTTTCCATATTAATTTAGGTTAAGATAGATAAACTGGAAGACTATGATACGNCTGTATCTGGCTCTATGGACAGGACTAGCCGGTGCAACAAAGTTGACGCGGCCAGACTTTATGGTTCATATAGGTTGAATTTACTTTTGCGTGATTTCACCAAAGCGAATTAAATAAGATATCGATTAAATTGTTACAATATAAATCATTGTAAAAATGAGAATAGGAATAAAAATATATTTTGATGGTTGAATATAAAGATGATTATCAGCTTTTCTCTACGCACAACTAGTTCACAATTCAACTTTTTTGTCCGGTTAAATCTGGGCCCAGGGGCGCAAAATCATCTAAATTTTTTTGTAATTATAGATATTTTTAAAACAAATTTCAGGAGAAAGGTAATTTTTTAGTCTCAATAAATTTAGTTTTTTTAAATGTTTAAATTTTTTTGACGCCCCTGGAATAAAGATGCTGAATTGGAAGGGATACATTAGGAATTCGGGGGATTAGGATTGAAATTTAGGGGTTAGTGCAGGGATTTAGAGGTTGGATTGAATTAAAATTAACATAGAAGAATTCTCAGAATAGTTATTATAATTATTATATTTCAAATATTTAGGGTCTTATCCACTTTATATACAATGGAAAAGTCAAAAGGATTAGTTGAAAAAAGTCGTTAAAATATTTTGTTGTTGTTTATCAAAGAAACCTAACTTCAAGGGACCCTTATTTAAAGGAGGGGTTCGCCCTATTCACAAACGTTCCCATTGAAACCTATATCTTGGAATTATTCCTACATATTTTCCTGCAGTAGAAATGATTAAGTAATTTTTGCAGAAAATTCGCAAATGAGAATAATCAGTTTTTAAAATTATAAACATGGATTCAGACAACGCTTTTAAGGATACATGTGAATCGTACAAGACATTCTGTAAATGGAGGGTCAGCTGAAGTTAAGTTTACCAAACGTTTTAAACCACTCAGTAGTAAGTTATAAATAGTTTAACAAAGAAAGGTTTCTTAAGAAATCAGTCCGTTTAAAGTTTAAACTTTTGTTTAAAAATATTTATGTTTTCTGCTTGCACATAAATATAATATCAGTTCACTCCAATACACCTCAGCTTGCCCTGTCGGAGATTTCAAAATAAATGGAATTTTGCAAAGTTTTAAATTTTCTGCAAATTTATATTGTTTCTTTTGCACAGTCCAGTAAGTTACGGTTACCTCCCCCCTGCCCCCTTCACACACAAAGCAACCTTGCTACCCAATTTCTTCCCTCCTTCCTCTTCACCCAATCTTTCGACCGGAAGTATCTCTATCTGAATATTGGTATATAAGCATCATCTATTGATGGTAAACGGTAACGATAAAATTCCCACAATTCCCTGTTTTCCCCCACCCTCTCCCACCTTCCCCCATGGGGGTATTTAGAGTTATATTGGTATTCTCTTGGTGATATTTATCCTTCCATTACTGGTTAGTTGGTTATACCTCATTGGACGCCATTACCCAAATTTAGAATAGAGTGAGGCTAGGAGGGGGGAATTACGTAGATTCTGTTACTAAAGTCAATGTTTATGATAAACTTAGAATGTTTAACGGGGGCGGAGCTGGGTGGGCGTGGTATGGAGCTACGCCTACTCCCTCCCACCTTGGCCTACACTCTGCTCCACCCACTCACCCCGCCTTGACACACCCATTCCAGTCTAGAGACATTCAAGAGGATAAAAAACCAGGTTAGAAACTTTAAACAGTCAATCAATCATTGATAGATAGGATAAATCAATTATTTAATATGTAAATGAATAGATAGACATTTTGAAATCAATTAATGAAAAGATAAATTAATAAATAGATTATTGAATCAATCAATCATTATATGAATAAATAGATAAATCAATAGATTAATAAATATATAAATCAATCATTAGATTTATAATAAATCAATCAATCAATAGATCATTAAATCAATCAATTATTAGATAAATAACGCAATCAATCAATCAATATATAAATATACAAATCAACCATTAGAAACCAATAAAAAATCAAACAATCATAAGATGAATAATTCAATTAATCAATCAATCAATAGATTAATCATTGTTTTCATTAATCAAACAATGAGTTGATAAATATAAAACTAATCAGTAGATAAATCAACACCCACCCAGGCTCCATCCTTCCCATCTGATTTAAAAACCGTTTGATCAGCTGTAATGAAAAAGAGGAAAAAGCATTCCTGTTAATGAAATAACGAAAGCAAGACATGCCTAGTCTGCAAAATAAAACACATATAATATATTCACTGGATTTCAAGTGTAGAGTATTAGGAACAGTGTGTCCAAGTGTAGAGTATAAGGAACAGTGTGTCCAAGTGTAAAGTATAAGGAACAGTGTGTCCAAGTGTAGAGTATAAGGAACAGTGTGTCCAAAACAAAGTTCCAGAACCAAAAACAAATTGGTGGCTTTCGGGACGTTCATTAAACTTCTCTTTCAAAATTTAACCAAGAACATAATGGAAAATGTAAGCAGAAAAGGAAAACAAGAGTGTAGTGCAGAGAATGAAGTACAGCCAGAACTGTGACAGGGTGTGTGCAGATGTGTGAGCACCCTGTTTAATTGCTTTGACCCTCATCTATTTAATTTATACATATTGTTAAAAACTAAAATAAAAAAATTAAAAATGTTAAAAATCAAAAGATAAATAAATAAATCATTAGATAAATCAATCAATTACTAGATAAATAAATCAATTAATTATTAGAAAAAAAACTAATCAATCAATAGATAATTAAATAAATCAACCATTAGATAAATAAATCAATCATTAGATAAATCAATAAATCTATAGATAAATAAATTAATCAACCATTATATAAATAAATCATTCAATCAATAGATAAATCAATGAATTAATCAATCAATCAAAAGATAAATCAATGAAATAATAATGAAGTCATTATTTATTGTTTAGATTTCTCTGACGCTGCTTCCTTCCATGATTACGGAAGTGAAGGTCTAAATGATGCTTTGAGTGATGGTAACTCAGAACATAACTCTTCTGCTGATGAGGATTCTCAACTCAGGTATTCTAACTCATTCTTAACTTATTTTTCCCATCATAGCCAAGTACAAGCACTTTATAAACCTATAACAACTCTTTTTTACTTGGATTTACTGGTACCGAACCGACATGATGTACCAGACACCATATCGACCTGGCCTGGCCTGGCCTGCTCTACTAGCATGTATTAGTACCAACCCGTCCTATACAATACTTGCCTGTAACATTTTCAAGTACCGACCCGGCCTGCTCTATTTGCCTGTACATTTACTGGTACTGACAACACCTGCTTTACATGCCTGTACATTAGCGAGTACCTTGAACCTCCCTACTGTGCACTGTACAGAGCTGTACATTCACTGGTACTGACCCGACCTTACTGTACAGGCATGTGCAATCTCTGGCACTGACCTGGCTTGCTTTGCATTCTTTACATTAGCCAGTACCGACCCAGCCTACATTCACTTGTACCGACCCAACCTACTTTTCTTGCCTTACATTCACTAGACCTGACCCGACCTATCGTACCTCCATGTACATTTACACGTACGGACCTAACTTTCTGTCCTGGATTGTACAATTTAGACATACTAATACTAACAACAACATATCGTGAATATCTTAAAAAGATATTTTAAAAATGTTTTTTTTTAAACAAAATTAACATGTTTAGATTAAGGTTAAAACGGAAGCTGCAGAGAAATAGAACTTCTTTCACAAATGAACAGATTGAACAGTTGGAAAAAGGTGAAATATAATCAATAGTTTGTCTTACTAATGAAAATAAAATCATCATAATCATCATAATTGATCAAATTAGACCATCTATTAATAATCGATGATAATGACAAATACACCACAATGCACTAGAAATACAATCAAAATTAAAAGTAATGTTGAAAATGATAACAAGAAAGAATTATCACTGCTACAAGCATTAGTTTATAGTAATAATGATAATGATAATGATAATAATAATAATACTCTAGAATTTGAGAGGACTCACTACCCTGATGTGTTTGCTCGGGAAAGATTGGCGGAGAAAATAGGGTTACCAGAAGCAAGGATACAGGTAGGATACAGGGATACAGGGATACAGGGATACAGGGATACAGGGATACAGGGATACAGGGATACAGGGATACAGGGATACAGGGATACAGGGATATATACAGGGATACAGGTATACAGGGATACAGGGATACAGGGATACAGGGATACAGGGATACAGGGATACAGGGATACAGGGATATATACAGGGATACAGGAATACAGGAATACAGGGATACATACAGGGATACAGGGATACAGGGATACAGGGATACAAGGATACAGGGATACAGGGATACAGAGGATACAGGGATACAGGGATATAAGGGTACAGGGATACACGGATACAGGGATACAGAGATTCAGGGATACAGGGATACAGGGATTCAGGGATTCAGGAATTCAGGAATACATGGATACAGGGTCAGTACCGCTGGAATAATAGAAATCCTAAATATCTCTGGTATAAAGCAGATAGAATAGGATTTATATATATTTACAGGAGCAATTTCAGCTTCAATCCTTCTCATCCTCTTTAATTCACTCCATAGATTCATAGTTCCGTTTCTAATTGTTTTGTTCCAAGGGATAACAGACAGACACAAACCCTGTACAGACAAACAAACCTAGAATTCCCTATCTGTAGATTACGTGTAATGACTCCACCCCTCCATCATTAACTAGAAAACACTCAATGTATCATCAAAGAATATAGGAAGATAGGGAGGGAGGGGTGGGAATGGGGAATAAAAGAGGAACATTTTAAATAAAAAAAGTTTATTCCCGAAAACTTTGAATACAGAATAAGAAAATCCACAAAAAAAATTTAATATTTACGATTTATTTTTCTTCAGGTTTGGTTTTCAAACAGAAGAGCAAAATGGAGGAGAGAGGAGAAACTTAGAAACCAGAAGCGTCCTTCAGGCGGAGGGGGAGGAGGAGGGGGAGGGGGAGATCATGGTTCTCACACTCCTGGTATGCTGGGGAGTCCTGGTACTCCAGGTCCTACACCTACTCCTGGTCCAGTTACGAGGATTCCCTTCAATACAGGGTTCAACTCCATGTATCCATCCATACCACAACCTATTGGAACCATGGCAGATTCTTACAGGTAGATAGATAGATAGAAAGAAAGATAGATAGATAGATAGACAGACAGATAGACAGATAGACAAATTGACAGATTGATAGATATACAGACAGATAGACAGATAAGCGGATAGACAGATAGACAGATAGACAGATAGAAATATTCAATATTATCTAAATATTTCAGGTCCCACTACAGCACCATGAGTAACCTCTCCTCTATGTCTCCGTCCTGCCTGCAGGAGAGGAACTCGTCCTACTACTCCATGTTCCACCATGATCCTCTCTCATCTCTTTCCTCCTCATATGGAAGGTAATATCTCGTTGAATCTCTCATCATTTTTCAAACCAAACTGGAACTTTGAAGAAAAAGAATTACAAAATGAATGGTGGATTATTCTATGTTCTGAAATACAAACAAAATACTGTGATTTCATGATTTGTTGATCATAAATTTAACAAAAATTGAAATCACTTCAAAAGTAATTTTCTAAAATGTTAAGGAGTTGTGGAGTGTCAAGTCAGAGTGCCCATATGTCCTCGTATGGGTCTTCTTTATCCTCTTCAGTCGGAGCTACTAATTCTGCGGCAGGTAATACTTTATTTGTATCCTCCTCAGTCGGAGCTAATAATTCTGCAGCAGGTAATACTTTATTTGTATCCTCATCAGTCGGAACTACTGATTCTGCAGCAGGTAACACTTTTTTATCCTCATTTTTTATCCTCTTCGGTCGGAGATACATCTTCAGCAGGTAACATTTTTACTTTGTACTTCTCAGTAATACTTTATTTATATCCTCCTCAGTCGGAACTACTAATTCCGCAGCAGGTAATACTTTTTTATCCTCATTTTTATCCTCTTCCGATTTTCTCCTCTGGCGGAGATACAACTTCGGCAGCAGGTAACACTTTTACTTTATCCTCCTCAGTAGGAGCACCAGGTAACAATTTATTTTTTCCTTAATCAAAGCTAGTAATTCCGCAGCAGGTAACATTTTTTTCCTCCTTTAGAGCTTTTAATTCCGCAGCAGGTAATATTCTTACAATATCCACCTCAGTTGGGGCTACTTAGGTTAAAAAATCATTCCAGCATCTTCCAAAGTTGACAATTCTCTAACACACTTAAGTAATTAGCATATGCATACATGCATACGATATAGATCTACATATACTATTATACTAATTTTTGAATTTTAGGATTGCTTGGTGCTGGAGTATCTGTCCCTCTGAATGTGCCTGGCCAGAGTCCTGATATTGCCTCCAACTACTGGCCTAGGATCCAGTAGTTCACTTTTACAGTCATAGATGGCAGCATGGATGCAGTTTAACTCCTTTCTTGGGAGCCAACTTTCAAAACATAGATACAAGGAGAGTTGAAGATGCAATACTTTTCATCTTCTGCAATGCAATGAGTCCAAAATTAGGACGGACAATAATTTGAACAAGAGACAACAGTGCCTAGTAAAAGGTTAAAGCTTTCATGTCTGATCTACAATTGCAAGTGATAATTATTCTGAAGAACGAAGCGTTAAACTGCGCCTTATGTATAAGAACAATTCAACCATGGGACCTGGACATTGAAGAGAAAAGTTCTAGAACATTTAGATTTGGTTTTCAGTCAGAAGTTTTGTCTGTCCTTTACTTTCTCGTGGTAAAAAGGTTCAACGCAGGACAATTTCAAAATGACAGAGCTTTGTTTCATTAATTCCCAGTTATTATGTATTTTACAATTCTAGTGTTTATCAATTATAATTTGATATTTTTAATTCAACTTTATAGATATCTAAAGACGTTTTATACATCAAGGTCCTTCAAGGACTTCAAGTGTTTTATACATCAAGGTCCTTCAAGTGTTTTAACTTGCCGTTTAAATTTTACCAGTGTTTTAAAGTCAGCATTTTTTTCACATTCCTGATTTTCTAATTATTTTCTATACTTGCAATTTGGGGTCATTTCTTGTTATACTATTTGCAACATTTAGTGTAAAATTGTAAACACCATTTTTCAGAACCTGCAAAACTCCTTGTTTAACAAAAAGCTAGTTTGTTCTACTAAGTATTCGAACTTTTCTAATGTTTCCACTACAATATATCTGCGATCTTTAAAAAAAAAGTTTTGTTTTTGAAAAACATCATGTTTGTAAGTCCACTTTTGAAAAATGCAAACAATGCAGCAAAGTTTATTTATATTGATTTAAGGGCCAAACTCATCTTTAAAAGTGCTTTAGACTTAACATTAAATTTTTAAGTTCCTTTCTCTGCAGTGCGTACACTGCACTGCACTGCACTGCACTGTACACTATTCACTTTATAGTGTACAGTGAATAGTGTACAGTGTACAGTGGACCTACAACTTTAAATACTCTAAATAATAAAGCTCTAGTCTAAAATAATATTATGAAATTCACCCAACACTTTCAAACACAGGAATGGATGCAGTGTTATTATTTAAGTCTTTTAAGTCAAGATTTATGGTTTTCAGTCAAGTAAAACCTTCATTTCTTATGTAATAATAATATTATATGTAGACAATTGTATTTGATATCAATAAATATTTATCATTTTAAAAACTTTTTTTATGATAACAGCAGATGAAATAAAAATGGAATAAATCACTATAATTGATAATATTTGAGTTTTGTATCATGATATATAGTATTTTACGCCGGAAACTGATTAAATCAGCTGTAAGGGATATCTGATCTCAATTATGAGCAGTTATACGGGTGATCATAACTTTATGCGAGACTCCGGAGAGAAGTATTATTAGTCACGTGCCGCGTTGAATAGAAAACGCGGCAAATTCCGGAGTGCACGTGGCGCTAGTGTACACCATAGTTCCGTAGAGGAAAATTTAACTGTTCAGTATGAATATCTTGTTATAGGACAGAGATAATTGAGTTGTGAGACGAAGGATTTAGATCGGAGAAGTTCAGGAATCTTTCAAAATTTAGCCGCTTAAATAAAAATCTTAAATCTTAAATCTTAAATAAAAATGTATATTAATTCTTTCAACACTTTTAGGAAATTTTGAATTTTGTAAAAACTAATTTTCTTTTTAAAAGTTGGGGTTTAAAAAGAGTAGATTCTACAGTTGAAAGTGCAGATGACAAATTTGACAATTTCCCGTAAATTTTCCCATGTTCTATCTATGGAAATTTGGTGCATATAGGTTCAAATAATGATGTAATTTTAGGGAGTTTAGGAGCCTATTATATTCTATCCTATATTGCACCCCCCCCCCTCCTTCAGTCCTTAAACTTAAACCGCCCTTGCTATTTTTTCCACAGGGTGACTCACACAACATGAGTTGTTTAGTATGGACATTAGACACCCTGTTATGTTTTGTATTCAAATTTGTTGCCTCTGAATTATGGACTTTATTTTCTGAAATAGTGTAAATCTTCATTATATGGTAGTTGTTTGTGTAAGAATGTGAATAATTTTGAGATCTTGACAAACTCTAGCGAAATGCAACTTGAGTTAATTAAGCCAAAAAAAAAGAGTTTTTTTGGCACCAAATTAAACTCTATTTTGGTATGAAAATGCTGCAGCAACCTGTAACTGTATCGAAACTATTGCACCCCCTGTAACTGTAGAAAGTGTAGTCACTGTATGTAGTGTGTCAGTAATGTTTGTATATAAGATTATTCTTACTTATTATTCTATGTTGACATTCAGACAATATAGTTGAGTATATACACACTTGTAGACAACTATAGTCAGACAATATAGTTGAGTATATAAACACTTGTAAACAACTATATTCAGACAATATAGTTGAGTATATAAACACTTGTAAACAACTATATTCAGACAATATAGTTGAGTATATACACACTTGTAGACAACTATATTCAGACAATATAGTTGAGTATATACACACTTGTAGACATCTATATTCAGACAATATAGTTGAGTATTTACACACTTGTAGACAACTATAATCAGACAATAAAGTTGATTCACACTTGTAGACAACCATATTCAGACAATATAGTTGAGTATATACACACTTGTAGACAACTATATTCAGACAATATAGTTGAGTATATACACACTTGTAGACAACTATATTCAGACAATATAGTTGAGTATATACACACTTGTAGACAACTATGTTCAGACAATATAGTTGAGTATATACACACTTGTAGACATCTATATTCAGACAATATAGTTGATTCACACTTGTAGACAACTATATTCAGACAATATAGTTGAGTATATACACACTTGTAGACAACTATAGTCAGACAATATAGTTGATTCACACTTGTAGACAACTATATTCAGACAATATAGCTGAGTATATACACACTTGTAGACAACTATAGTCAGACAATATAGTTGATACATACTTGTAGATGACAACCACAGGAAATTTATATTTCTTCATTTATATATCACTTAATTAAAATGACTGTATGTATTAACGATAATTCAAGAGACCCTATGGATTTGCATGTCTTTTTAACAACGGTAGCTTTTAAACCTGCATCTGATTAACATTAAGGAAGATACATTGAGTGTAGAGTGTAGAGTTATTGTGTACAGTGTAAAGTGTTGAGTGTAGAGTGTAGAGTGTAGAGTGTAAAGTGTAGAGTGTAGAGTGTAGAGTGTAGAGTGTAGAGTGTAAAGTGTAGAATGTAGAGTGTAGAGTGTAGAGTGTAGAGTGTAGAGTGTAGAGTGTAGAGTGTAGAGTGTAGAGTGTACAGTGTACAGTGTACAGTGTACAAAGGCAAATTGAAAGCTACTACATCTTGCTCTTTAAATGCACCCTAGGGTACCCCAAAAAAGACCAAGTGGGATACTTGTATGATGCAGACCGGAATGAAGTGGCATTAAGTCATACAAATTCAGGAGGAAAAAATTTACCACTTTTACCTTCTGATATGTACTTTTCAGAAATATGCACCTAGAGTCTGCATAGCTCAAAAAAAATATTTCTTGAATTTATCATGGCATCTATCATTTTCTTCGTAATTGACTAAAAATATTTGATCCATTGAAGTTTTTGAAAAATTTTAAAGATTAACTGAGTTAGGTCAAATAAACCTCAAAAAATGTACTTTTCCTAAAAACAAGCATTTTTGACAGTTTTTTTGGCATAACTCAGTCATTTTTTGAAATTTTTCAAAAATTTCAATGGATTTAATTTTTTTAGACAATTACGAAGAAAATGATGTGTGACATGATAAATTCAAGAAATATTATTTTATCTATGTAGACTCTACGTGCATATTTCTAAAAAGTAAATCAGACACTAAAAGTGGTCTGATCTCAAAATATTTTTCTTTTCCTGAATTTGTATGACCAAATGTCACTTCATTCCGGTTTGACCGTATGCATCATACAAATATCCCAAAATTGGTCTTTTTTGTTGGGGTACCCTACTGCCCCCCCCCCCCATCCCCAAGAAAAAATTGTTAGAATTGTCTGGTTGTTGGTCTACCTTTTCTTTCTTATTTCATCTCTTTTTTCCTCATCTCTGTTCTCAATTATTTTTATCTCCTCGCTTGATAGAGTCTGGACAAGGGGAGTTTAGAAACAAAGAAGGGTTTTGGAAGAAACAAAAAGTTGGGAATAAAGAAAATTTGGTTTTAGAATTTCGATTCTTAATTTTGAATAGCAACATTATTCTAGCTTATTCTTTTTAGAAAAATTGAGTTTAAGATCTAAACATGAGAAATTTCTTATACAATGGGATTTTTTGTTTCAAAATTATTTTTATACACATTTTTCTTTTAAATCTTTTCAGTGTGAATTGTTGGACATTCTATTATTTTTAGAGTTATTAAAAATAATGTCTAGATCATTGATGCCGTAAAGATGAGAAAAAATTATAAAAGTTTTATTTCGTCAGACAAATTGTTTACGAAACAATGCATTTTACATAATTCTACACATTTAAAATAAAATTTTACAAGGACTTTAAAAGGATTTTTTGATCAGGATGACAAGACCCCTTTAAAAACATCCAACTCTAGTGGTCTTAAGTGGCATAGTTGATTGTGTGTCTAATTGATCATTTCTAGACGTAATGACATTTTTTGCTTCACTCTTATTCAAGCCATAGTTGAGCTTGGTTCAGCTTAGTTATATTAAAGGTTTAACTAAGATTAATCTTCAAGTAAATTCTTCTAAAAACTCCAGGCAGGGCTTTTCATTGTTCATACATCTAATAGAAACTAGCTAACTACCTAACTATCTACTATATAGTCAGAATAACTTCATAATTAACTGCCTAACTACTGATATCCTTAATCCATAACTATCTAACTACCTAACTATTTGACTATCTGAATATATAAATTATACCTAATTGCCTAACCGCCTAACTACCTAACTGCCTAACTAACTATTTAAATCCCTAACAACCAAACTACACAGCTATCTGGCTTTATAAATACCAAACTAACTAACTACCTTACTACCTA